GGCAAGGGCTCAAACATGTACGGCTGGAAGCCTTCTACACCAAACCAAGCTTCTGCCGCCCTGGCGTCCTCTTCCACAACATCCCAATGAAATTTGCTTGCAAACCTTCCGCCTCAACAATCCCGCCCCCTTGATAATCGACCAATCCTTTCACTTTATTCACTCCAGTAAAGTCAGGCTCCACTTGGGAGAATTCGGAAATGAAGCGGTTGGAACAGCCGCTTCTCTACGACTTTAACACATTATATTTTAGTATGCTTACTATTTTTTCAGAGCGAAAAACGTCATTTAGGTCTTTTTAACAAAATAAAATCGAGGGCGACTCAGATGCATATCTGGATCCGTAAATATGCTGATGGCGCATGCGCCGGACGGATTGGGTAGTCGCACTGTAGAACCAGAAGCAGAATACTCCCACTAGAGTCCAGCTGCAGATGAGTCTAGATCTTAACCATGTAGAATCAATCCAGATGGTTGGGTTCTGGTTCTGGTTCTGGTTTGAAGCTGTGACTAACTGCGGGTCTGGGTGTGTCCAGGACCAACGGTCAGTGCTTCGCCATCATCGAGGAGGACGAGCACGGAGAGGCTCAGCTGACCTCCGGCTGCATGAAGTATGAAGGCTACCACTTCCAGTGTAAGGTAGGACCTTCAGCTGTCCTCAGACAGGAAGTGACACGCTGGGATCTAGAAACTCACCCCAGTTCGTTGTTAAATCTGAAACCTGCATCCTTCCTGCTGACCCCGCCTCTGGCCGGTCCTGCTCCCTGACTGGCTGTCTGCTGTGATTGACAGGACTCCCCCAACGCTCAGACCAGGAGGACGATCGAGTGCTGCAACAGCAACTTCTGCAACGAGAACCTGAGGCCCACGCTGCCGCCGCAGGTTCCCATGGGTACGTCCTCAGCTGAACGGGTTGTGGAGAACCTGGAGCTCAGATCTAACCGGGTTTCTGTTCCCACAGAGATCAGCTCTCATTGGCTGGCCTTCATCATCTCCATGACGGTCTGCTGCTGCACTCTGATCTGCCTCACCATCGTCTTCTACTACAGGTAGGACCTGATGTTCCACAGAAAGACGTTCATCTGCTCCTCTGATGCAGGCATTGATTTTAAATCCATAACCTTTGGTTATGATTGTAGACATGAGACGATAAACAGAAAATCTGCACAATACAAATAAATTCATCCTTTCACCACAACAGAAGAATTTATTCATGGAAATGTTTTATTTCTAAAGTTAAACAGATTAAAGTTAATCCCTTTAACTAAGCTGGTTAAGTGTAACCAGATTAAATGAGAATAAATGAAAGGATTAAATAAAACTAACCAACTATGGAGACCTGGACGATCTGGTTTAAACCAGTTACTAATTAAATGATTGACGGTTCATCATGGATTCTTCCAGAAGCAAATTATTTATAATGACATAAAATTAGCTTTAAACTTTAAAGTTAGAACAGTTGGAGCGGATTCAAACTAATTCACAGCTAAAAATAAATGAATAAAAAAAAATACTCCAAAGATGTCGGACATTTTTATCCTTATTTCAGTTAATTACTCACAGGAATATTAATGGAGTTGTAGCTAACAAACTTCAGAAAACATCTGGACATGTGGGGGAATCCAGTTCACTGCTGGCTAACAGCTTAACAAACAGTTCAGCTAACAGCTTAGCAAACAGTTCAGCTAACAGTTAAGCTAACAGCTTCTAAAAGCTTAGCTAACAGCTTAGCTTACAGTTTAGCTAATAGTTTAGCTAACAGTTAAGCTAACAGTTTCTAAAAGCTTAGCTAACAGCTTAGCTTACAGTTTAGCTAATAGTTTAGTTAACAGTTTAGCTAACAGTTAAGCTAACTGTTTCTAAAAGCTTAGCTAAAAGCTTAGCTTACAGTTTAGCTAACAGTTTGTTAAAACCTGGATGTTTAATCATCTCTGAAATCGATGCTAATGTTCATCTGAACAGCAGATCGAGCAGCTTGCTAGTTTTGTTATAAACCCGGACAATAGCGGGCTATTAGCGTTAGCGGCTAATTTTAAAGGACTGTTGGGTGACAACTTGGAGAGTAATGAGTAGAAATTAAAATATTAAATCCCCGTTGGTGTTCAGGTCCAACATCTAGACTCTGATCGATTTTTTTTTTTTTTTTAATCAACTGATTCAGAAAAGTTTTTACAAACAGTTGAAGTTGTTGATCTCTGAAATAAACAGATCTAGAAATAAGTAAATTATTCTTAAAATCAAAGATAAATAAGATGATCTGCCAGTAGAATGAGTATTAATGACCTGAAGATAAGTGGATTTTTAAGCTCTTGAAATAATGTTCTTTTGTTTTTTTTATATAAATGATCTTATTCCTTTTGTTATTCATCCTCCTGCTCAAAACAAGACGAAATAAATGTATTTTTAAGAACAACTGTCTTTGATAGATTTCAGTTTTTGCAGTGAAGTTCTGGATTAAAGCCCAATAATCCAGTAAAGAAAGTGAAATATGTTCTGATCCTGCTGTCACTAAATAAACCCAGACAGGAAGATGTCCGCCATCATCATAACTAAAATAAGCAGCGCTGTGACTGATGAACGTGATCTGGGTCGTAACGCCGTCTGACGCTTCCTCAGGTACAAGTGGCAGACGGAGCGGGATCGCTACCCCAAAGACCTGGAGCAGGAAGTCTTCATCCGCGGAGGAGAGTCCCTCAAAGACCTCATCCACCAATCACAGAGCTCCGGCAGCGGCTCAGGGCTCCCCCTGCTGGTAGGAAGCAGAACAACATGTGATCCTTCCCGTCCCGGCCGGGCAGTCTTCCTCCTACTGACATTATGAAATAATTTTTACCTTCAAACCTGAACTAAGTTAGACACCTGATTTAGGTTTTATAGTGTCGCAGTTTGTAGATTTTAAATTTAAACTCGACTTTAAATTTTGCTGAGATGATGCTCTCATCCCTCAGGTCCAGCGGACCATCGCCAAGCAGATCCAGATGGTGCGTCAGATCGGGAAAGGCCGCTACGGCGAGGTGTGGCTCGGCCGCTGGAGGGGAGAAAAGGTGGCCGTCAAGGTGTTCTTCACCCGCGAGGAGGCCAGCTGGTTCAGAGAGACGGAGATCTACCAGACGGTCCTGATGAGGCACGAGAACATCCTCGGTGGGTTCCTGAGTCCATTAGATCAGTCGGTCCATGGAGTGACCCTCAGCTGGACACACGTGGCTTTTATTTTCCCAAAAGAAAGAAAATAACTGCTTATAATTTATGGAAAATATCTAAATACTGAATATTTCTCTGGGAAACTTTTAGTCCAAGAGACTCAGATGAGCTGCAGTTTACTGGATTCTTGGAGATTTGGCGCCATCTGGTGGTCAACATTAGATTTAGCAACTACCAACATTTCTGTTGACATTTTTAATTTTTCATTTTGTGAGAACATTTACAGTGATAGTTACCATCAGTTAATGTACAATGTTACAACCGCCACTCACAATTATGTTTAGTGTGTATAAAATTATAGACCTAATATACAAAGTTAAATAAATTACATCTAAACACTTTGAACAAACTGGGAAAGATAGTCCTACGTGCTTTTTTACCAGCAGTTAACAGAATATCAAATAAATAATAATCTTTTCTGACCTGTAAATCCAAATTTCCTGAAAATAATGTTGAAAACTGCAGAGGTAGATTAGTGTTAAACCAACCGCTTAATACTTTATGAAGTTCTGGCTAAAAGGGTTTAACCGCTGAGCATTCGCAAAAGATATGGCCTCCTGGTTTCCTCATTGCCTCCAACATTCGGCTTCCACTCCAGTAAAATGTGTCTTTTGTTTTGGTGTAATAAAGAAACGGATCAAACGCGTCCATCCAAACTCTCACCATGAATGAGAGCTGGTTCATTTCCACTGGGATTAGCAAATACCAATCACCAACATTTCTGATGCTTTTTCTAACCTTTGATCACAACTTGGTCCAAATATTTAGAAAGCTTCAGGTTACTTCTCTAGTTCTCTAGTTTCTATATTAGATCCAGATGTTCAGGAGAACCGTGAGTGGGAGGAGATCCTTGAAGAGGAGATCTGGGATCAAACTGTCAAACATGGCTGAACTAAAGACGGCGAATATTAAACCCTGAGAATCAAGCAAAGCACAGAATATTTCTGTAGAATCATCTTATTTCTCCATTTTTCAATTAGCTTGCAGCTTAGTTTACAGTTTAGCTAACAGCTTAGCTTATAGCTTAGCTAACAGCTTAGCTAACAGCTTAGCTTATAGCTTAGCTTACAGCTTAGCTACCAGCTTAGCTTACAGTTTAGCTAACAGCTTAGCTTACAGCTTAGCTTACAGCTTAGCTAACAGCTTAGCTAACAGCTTCTAACAGCTTAGCTAACAGCTTAGCTAACAGTTTAGCTAGCAGCATACTTTTTTCTCTGCTAATGAATCCAGCTGTCATCTCAACAGCATTTTATTTTACATCACAGAGGTCTTAAACTCTTATTTATCAGCTTTGCCTAGTTCCCTGTCCAAGATGGCCGCTGTTTGACGTGTGAATGTCTCCCTCTGTCCTGCAGGCTTCATCGCTGCAGACATCAAAGGTTCTGGTTCCTTCACGCAGCTCTTCCTCATCACCGACTACCACGAGAACGGCTCTCTGTACGACTTCCTGAAGGTGAACACGCTGGACGCCGCGGCGCTGCTGCGCCTGGCCTACTCCGCCGCCTGCGGCCTCTGCCACCTGCACACGGAGATCTACGGCACGCAGGGCAAGCCCGCCATCGCCCACCGAGACCTGAAGAGCAAGAACATCCTGGTGAAGAAGAACGGCACCTGCTGCATCGCCGACCTGGGCCTCGCCGTCAAGTTCAACAGGTGGGCTTTCTGTCGTCAGGGTAACCTGCTGAGACTATTCACCACTCTGACGTAGCACGTAGTTGAACTGTGTCTGTGTTGCCGTAGCGACACCAGTGAGATGGATATCCCTCTGAGCAGCCGGGTGGGGACCAGGCGCTACATGGCTCCAGAGGTTCTGGACGAGAGCATCAACAAGAACCACTTCCAGGCGTACATCATGGCCGACATGTACAGCTACGGCCTGGTGGTCTGGGAGATGACCAGACGCTGCGTCACCGGAGGTACGGCACCGCGGCGGAGCGGCCGGGTCAGACCTATCTGTCACACTGATCCGGGTTTACGCTGGAAAAAATCACAGTCTAGATCTGTCATTTTTTATTGAATTAGGAGGAAAATAAGACATTTTGCCAATGGAAGAAGATAACTTATATTTAAAATAAAAAACTATTAAGTTGTCTTATTTTAAATGCATATTATCTCATTTTAAGAGTAAAATTCTCATTCTTGGCAAATCATCTGATTTTCCTGCTCAAATTAAAGGCAAATACAGTTATTTTAAAAAGTTTGACTTATTTCTAGATCTATTATTTCTAGTGTAGTTTTTCTAAATCACAGGAATATTCTCTCTGATTTTTACCTGTTGAGGTGTCCAGATGACCTTTAACCCCCGTCAGGCTGCTATCCTTCTGATCATCTGAGGTTATCTAATCCTGACCATAGCAGCTTCGTCTCTGAATGTTCTGGTTTCTGAGGAGCAGAATGAGAACAGACGGTTCCTCTGACTGACGCTGCTCTCTGTTTCCAGGCATAGTGGAGGACTACCAGCTGCCGTACTTCAACATGGTGACCTCTGAACCCTCCTATGAGGACATGCTGGAGGTGGTGTGTGTTAAAGGACTGCGGCCCACGGTGTCCAACCGCTGGAACAGCGACGAGGTGAGTCTGCAGACGCAGAAGGTTCTGATTGGTTGGATCCGGTGTTCTGTCAGCTCAGCAAACCCTTAAAATACGCATCAGTCCCATAGAATGGCTTCAGCTGTTATCTATTCTATTCAGTTTATTTCTATAGCTCCAATTCACATCATGTCATCTCAGGTCA